CTAATGACATGTATTAGGAGGTGACCTCCCAAAAAAATGCAGAAATTACTATATCATATTAAAATAATTAATTTGTTAAATTAAGGATGCACTAGTCTATTTCAGTTTGTATACATATATCAAGGCTGCCCAAACCTTTTCTCCAAAATGAAAATCTATCTGAGGGCTGCGGCCAAATGCAATAATATAATTCATGAAATACAAATACTAATGATTATGTCCTGCTGGAGTGTGACATTATTTGTTTGTGTACAAATTTTTTATATTTATACTTCTCATTCAACCACAATTAAATTTACTCTATCTAGGAGGCACAATTTATATGGATAGTATTTAGTTTATTTACAGTAACACACTGGAATGAAATCAAGCAAAAATGAAATAAAAGTAACAACTTTCTACATCTTGCCTTTTAAAAAATGCAAGGAGTAGAAAGTACAGATAATTGTGTGAAAATGTAAGAAGTAGAAGTAAAAAGTAGGCTGAAAAATAATTACTCAAGTAAAGTACAGATACTCAAAATTCTACTCAAGTACAGTAACAAAGTATTTGTACTTTGTTACTTTACAACCTTGCATACAAGAGAATGATGTCACTGAAAAGTTTTTTGATATTTTTAACTTTATGGYTGAAGAAATGTGCCAGCCATGATCCATTTAATATTTTAGCAAAGGTTTTCTTGAGTCTCGTAGAAAAKGTTCCTCTAGTAATTAAAGATAAAAGAAAAACACAAAAAAATATATAAAAAATGGTTTAGAACAAAAAAAATCTATTGTGGTGAGGAGAAAGTTGAGCTGCAACATGAAGCTGTTTATGTTCCTAACCTGGTCAAGAACTTTGGAAAGTAATCGAAATGATCATGGATACAAGCAGTCAAAATACTAAGTTTTCTCTGCAGGACACTCCCTGAGAGAGAAAGTGATAAACTCAGTTATCTGAGAGAGAGTGAAGCTGCTGTTCCTCCACTTCCAGAGGAAGTTGTCGTGGTTTGGGTATCCCTGGATGCCTCCCTATAGGGGGTTGGTCTGGGTTAGAGGGAAACCCCAGAGAAGACCCATGACACACGGTAGAGAGACTAGTCTCTTGTCTGGCCTGGGAACAACTTGGAATCCACCCAGAAGAGCTGGAAGTTGTGGGAAGAGATGTCCAGATCTCCCTGCTCAAGCTGCTGCCCATGTGATCTGACTCCGGAACAAGCAAGAGATTAGTTGGCCGGATGATGATGAYAATACAAATTGCTGCAGAAATTTCAAAAGACCACCCAAGAAATTGAGAAAATTAGAAGTGATTTGCAATAAGATTGTATAAAAAAATTCACAGGAAACTGCTGGGAAAATGACTCTTCAACTGGAACTTCTTTGAGAACAAAACGAGTTAGAGAAATGTGTCATGCTGCTTTGAGTAGTTTGTATTGAAACAACTCTAAATATTTTTGCTGCCCAATGAGCGACAGATTAATTCCTGTTGATGTAACTTTAAAWATTTGTGATCAAACCTCAGGAGTTGAGTGAATTCTTTTAGTTTAAGTGCAGATGTGACAACCCAACACCAAAAACAGTAGACAGGCTTTTAAATCCWACTTTCTCACATTTAAATCATTCAGRTGGGGTCRATATAAAGTGGAACTGCAATGCTTTGGTCTGAATTCTTCTTTATTGTAACTCCACAAGCCCCTCTTTCACCTCTTTTCGGATGTGTGCWGATCAACTCYTTTTGAGGCTGTCTCTTTAACAAGGCGCTTCAAGCCCCACACCCTCCAGCTTCCAGATATGACATTGTCTTTTTAATTACTTCCTAACAATTCTGGTGGAATTTAATCTGAAATCCTGACCCAGACTGCTTGAGAATAAACGTCTCAAACAGACTGAAATGTTCCAACATTTAGGATRAATGCAATGAAAGGGACAAAAAATAATAACAAATACGACTGTGATGTGTTTGAAAGCCTTTCTGTTACAGTGATTTGCTGTATAGCTGATTCTCCACGACAAACGTGTGTTCCCAAAGTGCAGCTCTGTCCCAAATCGACATGACTGTAAATGTTTTGGTTTGAGGACAACAGAGGGGACATATGGGACGTCAGTGCAGTTCTCCTTCTCTTGACTCTGCAGCCGTGGCACATTCGTTACAGTGTTGACTTGTGTTTACACTGAGGAGCAGCAGAGAGAGGGCTCTCTGTCTGCAGCCGGCCTTAAAAGACAAAAACAAAACACCTCTGTGAGTTATGAAGCACTGCTTCTTGTTTCGGCTGCAGAGGAGAAACTGGGCAGACTGTAAACACCAAAGTGATGCCAGGGTTGGGAAACTCCAAACTTACTGGAACGTCCTTCTGTTCGCCATGAATCACGGCGTCTTTTACAGCCTTCAGTGCCATCGAACGTGTACTTTAAATGTATTACCTCTGCCTGTGACCCCGAGCTATTAACGTGCACTGCTATGTAAATAATCAGCCCGAATGATGTCACAACATCCCTACAAGGTGATATTAAGGTATAAATAACATACTGTATCTTGACCATCATCTGAGTAATAGGGCTGCACTTTAAGTTGGTGTTCTCAGAACAAACACTGCAGACCTTTAACAAAAATCTGACTCTTTTTACGGTCTCATTATTTCGGTCTGAAGCCTTTCTGGGTGGTGATTGCATGATTTTCCATGCATGCTGGTGAGTTCTCTGAGTCCTGTGGTTTTCAACAAACCAAAAACACGAGCGTTAGGTTAATAACCCTGTCTGTAAGTGTGGGTTGTTGTGAAATAAGGGTGGGCAACTTATTATTATTATTTTTTTAAATTCTACTGTAATTTAACCAGGGAAATCCCATTGACATCACAGATCTCTTTTGCAAGCGTGGCCCGGGCAACTCTTGTACTCTTGTTTAATAAGATTAATACAAAACGTCTTGAGTCCAGACTCTACATGGTTGTGGTTCTGGGAAAAAGTTGCTGTTTTTTATGAATTTGCGACTTCAGTAAATTTCTCATTTTTAGCTTTGTGCAACGTGTCATGGTGGTGACATAAATAACTGTTTTGTTRGATTTTTTTTAACCTAAAAAAATATAAAGTGACTCAGTTGCCTCTCAGCAAGAAGGTTGCTGGATTGAATCAGTCGGGGACCTTTCTGGGTGGAGCCTGCATGTTCTCTCCGTGCATGTGTGGGTTTTCTTCAGGCACTCTGGTTTCCTCCCACAGACCAAAAACATGACTGTTAGATTAACTGGTATCTAAATTGTCTCTAGGTGTGAGAGTGAATCCTTGTTTGTATGTGTCCCTGTGATGGACCTGGACCTGTCCAG